ATGTAAACAGTGAGCAACTATAAAGCACGGATATAGATACAGAAATACGGGTATGATACGATATGAATACGGTGATACGACAAAGTTTAAAAAAATCGGATACGAGTACGACCAAGATACGACTATAATAAAATATTTTTATTATTTTCAACTAACTTAATCCTTATATATTTTGATAATTCTTTAACATATAATAAGGAAAATTAGTAATTCTTTTTAATTTTAAGAAAATATATATCATGTCGTTGTGGTATATTCACAAAATGAAGTGACTAATTAAAGGAATCAAAACTAATATTTACTTAGTATTTAGAACTAATTTTTGCTAAGATTATAATGTAATAGTTTTATTTATACTCTTTTGACATGTAATTGTAGATAATACTTAAAAACACTCATGTGCCTTTGAAGTAATATGAATTTTTTGTTAATGTATTATATGACATGTGAATTCGAAAAAAAATGTTAAAAGTTCAATTAAAAATTATATATGTTACTTGACTACAAAAATATTCGTGAAATATTTTAATATTTAATTATTATCGGATACGTAGAAGGTGTATCCGATACGTATCCTTGAGTATCCGACGAGTATCGTATCTGATACAATATCTGATACGGGTACGTCAACCTCAACAAAGTATCCGTGCTTCATAGGCGAGCAAAAATTCAATAATAAGCTTACCAAAAAAAAAGATAAAAGAATTCAATAATAAGATTGCGGACGAATTGCACTTTGCATTCTAAAATACTTCAAGATTTTCATTTTGCACTCTCGGAAATTAAATTTTTTATATTATACCCTTAATGTATCAAAAGTATTGCAATGTGACCCTTCTGTTAACATTCTGTTAATTTTTTCGTTAATATCAATGAATTGATTTTTGACAGCAAAAATAACGGAAGCTAACAGAATGACCACATTGTAACATTTGTAATACATTAAGGGCATGTTTGTTTCGAGTATAAAATTTAGGTGGTATAAGATTTTATATTTATTTCACTCCAATCTAATAGTATATTATACCCGGTGTTAAACTATAATCTCATCCTTCTCTTTGTTTGTTTATCACAAATATTATCTGTGTAATACCTACTTAAAAAAATCAACAATTGCGGCTAACCAATGTAAAAGACAATTTTAACCTTTAAACACAAATATTATTTGAGAATTGTACTAGAGGGCATTTCGGTCTTTTTAGTTTATAATACCTATACCAAGAATATAATATCACCACCTAGGTGGTATTCATTAAGACCTTCTACAAGGCATTATGGCTATTATTCATAGCGGGTCGGTATTACGACCCGAAAAATAGTATTGACTATAAAATGTCAAACAAACAACGTATAAGATGGGTCTCACGTACTATTTTTCTAATATCACTTTCTTATACCTTTCTAATACTCAAAATAAACGGCCCTTAAGGGTATAATATAAAAAAAATGTAATTTTTAAGGTACAAAATAAGAATTTTAAAATCTTTTAGGGTATAAAATGCAAAAAATCCTAAGATTTAAGCTTATATGTTTGATCAAATTATACATTGACCCCACCAATTATATCTTCTCGTACATTATCCCCCATTTGTCTTGTTTTGCACATTAAAATTGTACAATGAGCTTCATTCTTGAAATTTTGGTCTGAAATTCGGAATGTCAATCACAAAAGATAACAAGTTTATGTTGAAAAGTTTTTTTCTAACAATAAAATAAATAAAAAATATAAGATGGAATTATTCATGAAAAGGCAAGGGTATTTTGGGTAAGATGGTGAGTCTTTGTTAGAACGGTAATATGTACGAGATTTGTCTCCTTTTTTTTGTCTCGTTGTCACATAGCTGCATGTGACTTCAAAGGGCTTTTTTTTCACTGAAGACAACTCAATCAAACAGGTCTTTGGAGTCACGGGTTGCCACTGTTTACAAAATAGACTCCTGCGACTTGAACTAACTTCATCTTTTCGTGGGTTGTTGATATTATTTTTCACATGGGGTTAAAAAAGAAAGGGATTTTTATAACTTTATTCCACCAATTTTATTTTTTTAAATTGATTTTAAAACATTTTTGTTGTAAGTTGATATATAAAAATATTGTATTTTGAACCAAAAATGTGGTAAACCTCGTTAATACACTTCCTTCGGTATCGAAGTGATAGTCTAAAAAGAAATATAATTTTGGATTAATAACATTTTTAGTTCCTAAAATGTGTATTTTTTATCAATTTAGTTCTTATTGTATTAATTTTGTTAATTTAGTCTCTAAAATATTTAATTCGTATCTCTTTGGTCTCTAAATAGACTGATCGTTAAGTTTTTGATGAAATGATCATGTGTTTGACACGTGATCACTTCCGTTAAAAAACTTGACAGATTATCAGATTAAGGATCAAATGGACAAAACTGATACAATGAGGATTAACTGAAAAAAAATACATATATTAGAGATTGAAAGTGTTATTAACCAAAAAATATTGTCAATTGTACATTTTTGACAAATAATTTAGTGTTGATAAGTATTAATAGCAGAAATTTTTATTGATTACAGAATGCATATTGTCATTACAATGGTTCGTTCAATATATTTCATTTGTTTTTTTTTTTTTGGCTCAAGTAAGGAAAAAAAAACGCACAATTTTTTTTTCCTGATTAAAAAAGAGATGGGGGCAAAGAAGAGCACTCAGAGACCACCATGATAGGCCTTCACCGGGGAAATCATAAGGCCTCTGATTATGCTCGTTACTCTTAGTTACATTAGCATAGCGGTCAGCCACCAAACTTCAATGTAAACTCTAAGACTTGAACTTTTAATCTTAAAATAAAAAATTCCGTCGATACCTCCATCACCCCCACTCCGTGGTAAAAACAAGCACAATTGAGAAAGGAGTAAAGTGGATTGTAAAAGGCATCATAGTTTATTACTTTTGCTGATGAAAAACATGCCATGCCAGGGAGTACGATTTCGATCTGACCTCCGATTTCTACATAGAGACAAACGTCTTGGGACTAACGTGGGACTCGCTTAAGGACCTACTGGTTTAAAGGCTTGAAAAATAAAAAATGAGATAGAACTCATAGAAGTCTCACCGGCGGGTAAGCGGCCGATAACTGGATCTTAAATAATAATAATTAATTAATTAGTATAAGGAGTTAAGCATCAAAAAAAATTCCAGCAACACCCTCGCAGATGGTACCTCCTTAACTCATTCTAGGCATTGCAAGGTATGAAGAGGGTAATAGATCGCGCCAATATCTGTATTCTTCAGAAGAATCCCTTCTTACGAATTTGTTTGTTACTATTTTTTTGTTTCTCGGGTGAAAAAATGATTCAAAAATTGACAAAAAGACAATTTAAAATACAAGACTAACATATGAGTGATGGACATGGTATGGTATGATTTGTTTTTGGGTAAACCATCAAAGTGTTCATTTATTTCTTTATAGTATGGTGGGGTAAGCTATCATCAAAGTGATTATATCAATATATTTCCAAATAAGATGGGAACAGCTCATATGTGGATGCTGTCTGTTTTTTAAGGCTAATAAAGGCCAAATTCGTACACGTTGACTTTTTAGTCTGAATATAGGAATAGTATAAGTCACACGTTTAATAGTTAGTCCTAAATGTAGAATTTTCTTTTAATTTTTTGAATTATTAATGCAACTTTTTTAATTATTAGGATAAATATCATAATTAGTCCTTAAAACTTTATTTGCTATTTTATAATTGTCAATGGAGGCACATGACTTAGACGACCACATGGCAAGCATATGGACTTATCTCAATTTGTTTTAATCGGTGAAATGGACTGAAGAATTTTATTGACACGAAATTAATATTTAAGGGACTAAATTGGAACAATTAAAAATTTGTGCATCATTTTAAACAAGAGGCAACATTTAAAAACTAATTATGGTATTTATTCTAATTATTATATATTTTTTAGATGGTATCTCAACCGTTAGGGGTGTTAAACGCACATTAAGACAGGTTAAACGCACATTAAGAAAGGTGATATATGTTATGGATACTAATATTTTTACTTTTTTTTAGAAAAAAACCAAAATAAAAAATTAAACACAATAAATTCTTTTTTCTCCTTACCTTATCGGGGAAACAGAAAAAAAAAAAAAAAAAAGTTTGAAAGATGCACTGGGAGTAACTACTAAATTGTTAACCAGTGTGAATAACTCGGATGATAGAGCTTAAATGGTTAATACCGTGAGATCCCAAATTCTAGTTTTACACAAAAAAAGTACTAGTTGAGTCGATGTGTGCGATTTACAAATGAATACATGTATTTCGAGTTTGTATGACATACACAAATAAAAACAGTGCATTATTAAGACGATTCTTTGTTGTTGAGAAAGTTAAATTCTAGTTCGTGTTATTGTAATTGCAAAGTGGACTCGATTCAACACAATTCGACGAGCGTGGAGCCAAGATTTTGGTGGGATTGTTTACGTTGGTGTGATGGTAGTGGCTCTTATGATTTAGATGACACAAAATTAGCTAATATCTATTAAGTTAGGTAAAACACAACTTTAAAGCAATTAAGAATTGTGGTATCGAAAAATTACTTTTCATTGTCGTACCAAATTTTCTCGACCAATAAGAATATAACACATGTAAATTCTCTTAATATATCATTTAGTTTAGTTTAGTTTATTGTTTTCATGATCAATGATTACAAATAAATCGATCAGTGATTTGTGACCATAAATTATTTTTCGATATCATAATCTTATCTGCTACAATTTTGTAGCTGTTAATAAATAATTTTAAAAGATAATTGAGATCAAAAATTGAATTTACCAATACCTCACTAATTTTTGTAAACATGATATAAAGGACCGTGAATTTGTCCATTTTTTTTTTTGACAACATTGGTTCGTAATTTTTATCTCATTGAATCATAAGTACAAAAATCATTTGGTTGCTGTATGGGTTGGCCAGTTGGAGCATCCATTTGAGTCGGGTTGGGTTGGGTCGGGTCATCAGAGTTGTATGTGAATGACCACAAACATGTCCCCTCCAAACCAGCCTGTTGCCATGTCTACAATAAAATTTTGCAGCTACACCCAAAGTTATGAGGCCATGCCAAATAATTCGGAAATGTATGATCTACTGCAACTTTGTCCCCTCTATCATAACAAGTTTACAATGTGACTCTTGATTATGATGGGATCTGAAAGAGATGAATGATAAACAATCTTGCTATCAATTCAAGACCCGAGACACATTGCCACTTGTCATGGTCCGACAACCAAGAAAAAGTAAGTAGCCTCTAAAAAAAATTTACAAGAAAAACTTTGCTCAGCTGAAACACTTCTCTACCACCATTAATAAGCAACATACCTGGCAATAATGTATGTAGTGATACAGGCACCAGGATCCAAGCCTAAGGGTGAAAAGGAAATGGCAATAAGAATCACACCATGACAAGAGAAATGTAAAAGATTATAAAAGTACAACAAAAATTGTTAAATAAAAGAATACATCAAGATCACCTTGTCATTCTTATCGGCAAATGAAGAACCACTGAACCAGGCCTCAGAAACCAAAGCCACGCAGTTTTACATTGCCAACATTTTCAACTTGTAATGTCACAAATGAAACTTTTTTTGTTTTCAATATCAGAGCTCAACTAACAAGTCTACATGTCCACTCACAAGTTCCTAATCTGAGAAGTCCCCGAAACTAAAGCTGAATTTCCAACAATGCTTTCTTTTCTCATTGGATCCCCTACTATTTGTCAGTGTATCATCTACATTTATATTGGTTCACAATGTCTATTGCTGCCAACCATACTGCTGATTTCGACTACTGGCCATTGGATTAGGACCTCTGTTAGCACCAGAGCCTCCGTACTGACCACTTTGGGGATAGTTAGGAGGGCCAACTCCATAACCACCCGTGGCTCCTTGGGGACCATTAGTGGGCACATTGCTTCCAGGATATGGTCCCCGTCCCTGAGATGGATATGACCCACCACTATACCCCCCACCTTGACCCCCTGGATCTGGATAATACCCGCCACTGGGGTTTCCACTTGGAGGATACCTATTAGGCCCTCCAGGAGGACCACGAGGCTTTCCGTACTGATGATGAAGTGGAGGCTGGGAATTGTTCACGAGATGATTAGGTCCAGACCAATATGGAGGAGGAGCTTGCCCAGTTTGTTGGATGGGAGGCAGGCGTGCATGCTGTTGTGGGTGATGCAGTTTCTGTCTCTTTGCTATTTCTTCATTTTGTCTCTGCTGTTGTCTTTTTTTCTTTGTCTGGAACTCATGCGAGGATTCATATTTAGGCAAACTGTTCGATCAAAAGAACAGGACAGATCATTGTCATACAACCCAGAAAGCGAAGCCTTGAGCCATTTTTTATAACAAGCAGAGATTAGCTAATATATTGACAAACAAGTTTCAGAAACTCAACCATGAAAGGGCCTAAATAAAACGAGTGAATTTAGATAATTACAACTCCTGGCATGCCACAACTGTTCTGACCCTCAGAGGCATAACCATTACTGATCATTTTCCCTATTTAAATGAATAAGGTGATTTCTTGGAACTCTGCGGGGGCATATTGGAAAACTAGGAGGACACAAGACATACCTCTTGGGATCACAAGGCAAGGGATCAGTCCAGAAATATTCAGCATCAAGTGCATCCTTTGCAGATATTCTCTATATCATCAAGGTGAAACAGAAAATAAAAAATAAAAAATAAAAAAGAACAGAAAAATGAATCAAGAAATGAATATAGGTCTTCGAATCAATTCAAAAGGAAAGTTACTTAAAGTAAAACAGGATGAGATAAAGGAAAAGATAAGGAAGTTGAATAAATGACACTGCATACAATCTGGCAATCTGCTGAATATGTTCATTACTTTTCTGGCCATTGATGGATCATCTGAAGAATGGGAGTGCAAAAGGCAACGGGTCATTGCTCGATGACATACGAGGGGTTCAGGAGGTTATGTGTGAAAATTGAAGGTTGAGTCAAAAAAAAGCTGCAGCCCGAGCTTTAACATAGCAAATAGAAATAGATGGAGACAGATCAAACTATATTACTATCTATTTCTGCTGAAGGTTGAGCCATTAATCAAGGCATGAAACCTTGAAACTGCTATTTCAAGATGATGTAATTCCGAACATCCGTAATCAATCTGATCCATAAGGAATAAAACTATTTCCTTCTCCAAATGGGACTCTAGTGTGTGCATTTAGAAGTCCATTGCATTAAAGCAACTACTCTTTTTTATATGTTTTCGTTGAAGTGAGGATAAGAAACTTCATAGGGTTAATCAGATTGTGGTTGAGTATCTAGCTTGTGCAGATAATTTCCAGTGATGCAGGACGAGCATTCTTCAATTCTGCTTTGTCAAGTTTGACAAACACAGCCCTGAAGAAGAAATAAAATAGCTGAAAGGTGTACTGTTCAATTATTAGCAAGTTACCAGTGTGAAAGATGAAATTAGAACTTCTACGAGTCTAGATATTCATATGCACATTATAGGGGAGATAAGTGATTGACTCGGTCATAAGGAGGTGTTAATTCGAGAACGGATAACTAATTTGAAAACAGACCAGTTACGCCACCAATATGGGCTTTGGTTCAAGATAAGACAATATGGAGAGAATTAGAATGGTGACGGCTTAATTTGATAAAAAGATTCAAAGAACTAAGAAGTCTACTAACTGATAAAATGTGGTCAAATATAAGTAAATCAAATAAGGAAATACCAGAGATGGATCAAGACTAAGCATTTTATCCAGTAAATCCAGAGCATGGCGATCGAAACTGCAAACAAAGTTAAGGACTGTGAAAATCAAATTTTTTCACTACATAGGGGCTAAATAGTACAGCATTCTGTAAAACATCAGCTTGTGTCTGCTTAACTGTCTGAAAACCTCCCTAACTCGTCTCCTCATTGACCTTGCTGGTTTGAACTTGTTATACCAAGGAATCTTGGAAACTCCAGGCCAGTTAATCTCATCAGGAGATCCGCAAAGCTCGTATATCTTGTTTAATTGTTCAGGCTACAATAAACAGTCAACAAAGAAAACAGTGAAATGATTTTCCATTAACTTAAGAGAATCTAGAATAAGTGCGGATAAAGTAAATATTCACCCAATAAACTTTATCTTAACTTCATCAATTTTATATCAGTACTCGTTGATAAGCTATGAAGAACAAACATAGACACATGATAAAGATGCAAGACATGGCAAACCCTAAAAAATAAGAAATCTGACACAGCTAGAACATGCTACAAAAATTTTATTTTATAAATCATGTTATAAAGTTTATAAATATGTAGATAAACTTAATTATACAATTAAAGAAAATCATTATTACATAATAATAAAATCGTACACCTAATGGCCTAACATGAATTTGTGAACTAATAAATCATAACAATCACGAACTTCTTATAGACAAGGTGTTCCAAGCATACAGGATTATAATAATTTTTCTCGTATTCCCAAGCCCACTTGGTAGAGTAGTGGAAATAGCCTCTCCACATGTATGAGTAATATTGCGCACATCTGACCCGGCCTAGACCCTGCAATGTAGTGAGCCTCGTGTACTAAATAATAACTTTTTCAGTTATATCTTCTGCTACAATGATTATACCTTTTTGCATAAAAAATCATCTCTCACATTTTAACGTTGCGTGTTGACAAGTGTCCATGTTTCGTCTACATATGCATCTTTTAACTATAGAAATAACCATAGACACGTGCTAAAAGACTGTTGAAATGTGTCCAAAATGAAGAGTTTCTTTTTGCTAAAAAAAAATGCAAAAAGAGTATTAGACAAAATGGATCATGGGGTCATCTTGGGATATGCACTAGAACCTTGGCAAGCATTCCAAAACCCACCAACACTCGTGGAAACCCGGGTTCCTTATTTATGCATCAATGTCAATAAATGTGGGAATTTTTCTGGGTTGTGCTGCGGAAATCTACAAAAATTGGTAAATATTCGCTTTAGTATATAGTACAGGTACGAGTAAGCGGTACAACACTTTTTCGAATGCGAGGTGCGATGAGGGTAAACTTAGTTGGTAAGCCTTTTATGTCATGATTCACTTTGTATGTCTTATACGGATCACTTCCACTATTTTATGAACTAATGTAAAATTGTCCATTTGTATGTCCATTGTGAACTTTAGTAAGATCACTTTCACTATTTTATGAACTGATGTAAAATTATCCATTTGTATAACCGTTGTGAATTGATATTTGTGTCATATTTCTTTTAGAAGTTTCAAAGCGAGGAATAATACAACACATCAACTTATGGTCTTAGATAGCAAAATCTAGGTGTGGCATTTTTATATTGCGAAAAATATAAGTTTAAAGATCACTAAGATAAATAAAAAAAATCAATTTGGGTTAAAAATTGGGGTTAGGATTGAAATATGGGATTACCTAAATCGTGGGTCGATTTGTGGATTAAGCCATGATTTGAGGTTTGTAATTTGGCAATTTGTGTCACAAACCCACTCTATTTCAAGTCGTGCGACTCCAATTTGTGGGGCACTTGGGTATCTATGATACCAATATCTATAGATGGACACATGTTCAATAGAGTATGGAAATCATCATTTTCTGACGATGTACGAACACATCACCTTCGTATAAACACTTGTAGTTCTTAGTTTATAAGAAGACAATTCACTTTCCAGCACCAGTAGATTTTTTTAACTCAAACTAATGGTGAAATCTAGTTAATAATTCTAAACAAAAAAATAAAAATTTATGTAAAGGACCATCTAATGGATTCTGCGGTTAGGATCATGCTCAGTAGAAGTGATGCAAGTTTTCGAAATAAGGTTCTTTCAAAGAAGTGGTTATGACGATTTTGTAGAAGCATGTCTCTCTCTAGCACTAGATTTCATTAAGAATGTATAGTGTGCCCTAAGATGCCAAGGTCCCCTTAGGCCTAGGCACGAGGTGCAAGGCGAGGCCAAACCTCATTGAAGTGAGGCACGTGTCATAGATAACGTGCATTTGATTTTTGAACACATAACATAACATCAAACAACACAAAATATAAATGAACTAATCATACCCCGTGCCTGAAGGCACAATCAAACATAAGATTCGAGCATTCAAAAAAATGATTCTATTATACCAAATAACAAATTTTTATTTCTTCATTTATTGATTACGTTATTTAAAATTAATTTTCACCTATTATTTTCGTAAAAATAGCGTCAATTTTCTCAAAATAACGGACATATTTTTCAGCATGTGTATACTATCGTGTATGGACAAAGAATGAAATAAAAATTTTGTTAAACTATAAATTAATCAAATATTAAATAATTAAACATGTGATAAAATTGGCTGATGTGATATTTTTGGGAGGAAAATTATGTAGGGGATAAAATTCAACTTCCTATGTGTTTTATTATATAGATATTCAAGAAATAGCAAACATCAGAAAGCATCCAACTTCCCAAATATTCCGAACATAGGCTGATTTCAATAAATATAGGCTCATTTCACAAACACATACATCAATTTCTCCATAACCCCCATTAATTCAGATAAATGTAGATATTTATTACTGAAACAAAGCTCTTGCATCTCAAATTTTCAATTTGTGCAATGCCAACCCATATGAACCATGACAATGATTAAGCATTTTAGCTGACAATTTCACAAGACTAGTTCAGTAACTCACAAAAACATACCTATATCATTTATTAAAACAGAGGCAAAACAAGCAATTGAATCCAAAGAATTAAGACAAGTATGACAATTGAATTATTCAAGGAAAAAAAAAAGTAACTCCAGGTGCACATAGTCAATCTATTTGAGCAAAAGCATACTTGTTTCCAGAGCTCAAATAGTAACTTGGTTTCAAACCACATCTGGCCCATAAAGAGATAGAGAGAGACACAAAAATACAGAGAGAGATAGAGAAAAAGAAAGCAAGAAAGAAAGAAAGGAAAAGAAAGAAGAAATAGAGACAAAAATGAAACATGGAAGAATAAAAGAAACAGAAGAGAGAGAGGCTGATGAAGATGGAAAAGAAAAGACAAGAAGATCGAAGGACGAAGAGAAAATGACTTGGACATGCGTCTGGCTAGTCCACTATTTCTTTAGGCATCTAACCGATGGTTTGTAAGACACCAGAAAAGAGAAGAGCCGACTTTTAAGGTTTTGTTTTGACATTGAGTTGAGTCAGATTGAATTTTATAATTTGGTTTGTGTATCAAGCAAACCCAAGACATCGTTTACTTGCACAAAAATAAATGACCCACATGCAATCTAGAAGAGAACAAGGCAAAACAAAAAATGGTCCATGAAGCGCGCCTGATAAGCGATTTAACCCTTGCGAGTAAGCCCACTTGGTGTTTGCCTTGTTGAAGTGGCCTCACCTTGGTTTGGGCAAGGTGCTAGACCTGGGCCTAGGCACAGACCTAAGCTCGGTCGATGTGATGCAAATTTAGAAACAAGACTCTTTCAAAGAAATGGTTAAGGTTCCACAGAAGAATACCTTTCTCTGGCACTCGATTTCATTAAGCAAGTATAGCATATACCAGAGTGGTTGGTATTCCAATCTAGTAGCAAGACAGACTCACTATTAGTCTAAGGAATTCATGACGAAATTCTGACCTCAATCTCCCAGTAAGTATCAACACTATTTGGACATGCCACAATCTCTTCTACAATCATTGGTCAGAAATGGTAAAGTCCAAATTTGCACCTCCTCTGAACTTAAATGAAGTGAACATTCAACTGTCTCAAAAATTGCAACCATTAAAGACATGTCCATGCTACTCTCTTTAAAGCATCAAAGAGTTCTTTTCCTTCTCACCAAGATACTAGATACTAGGTTACCAAGTTCAGTATATTTGGTTGTTGAAAATTTTCCCATAATTTGACCACTATTATAAGCCAAAACCCTCTCCAATTCTCCTCCAAGATTATTTGGATCTAAAAGCATCTCACAAAGTGAAAGCTTTGGGTTGGACTGATATACATGGAATGGGAATTTGAACGAGAAAATTTTCTAGCACTTTGCATTATATTTTCACTTTTCGATTCTTTTAAGGGAAGGGAGGCAAGGTAACGTCATAGATGCTTTCCTTCTTTAAGGGAAAGGAAATGAGAACACCCAAAGTGTGTTCTCCTAGTGGGCTTCTATTGCTTAAGAGTTGCAAGGTGTCAACACTTCACTAGTTGGTAGGAATTGGAAGGAAATGTGCAGGGCTGAGTTGCATCACGGACTCACGTGATGGTACCGGTAAACAACCCCATGTAATTGGTGCCCAACATAACTGAGGTATCTTAAGCAATCGTAAAACCAGTGGAACATAAGGAATTTCGGGAAATACAATGCAGATATTGCCTATACTTTCAAGTTCTTGCTTCATTGGGATGAGTTCCTAGAGCAAATCCTACTGCTCTCTTCTAGTTTGCAGTATGCAAAAATTGAAAACTCACCAATCTCCAAACCAATGAAGTACTCTAATCTAATGCTACTTAAGCTAGAGATGGGAAGTAGAAATGTTGAAACATTTGGCATCACAAGAAAAAGTAATTGATGTCTCTCCATTCTCAGCACTTGGGAGTTCCAGCCCTCCCACCTTTCCTGTATCATACCTCTTCTATATTTCTTCTCTTCAATCATTATTTTCTTTCCAGAATTTCCTTTTCTTTCTTTTTTTGAACTTCTTTTTCACTCACATATTACTATTTACTACCACATACAAAATACTCCATCGAATGGATAATACAGTCATAGATGACAAATGGCAACACAATGCAGACATTTGAATCTTTTCTTAAATGGAACATTGCTTTATCAAAAAAACTTATTTTTTAGCAGTTCAGATCCTTTATCATTCAAAATGGTGCGTGAAATCAACAAGCATCTAGGAAGCACGGATACTCTGGCGAGGGTCGATGTGGCGATGTCACACGGATACGTGTGGGATATGGTTAGACACGAGCCCGACACTTCAAGTGTCAGGAAAAAAAATTACGATACAGGAGGAATACCGGAGCGGTACGGTATCTAACCAATCGATTTCTTCTTTGATCTCTGCTTTACCATATGGCCAGGCCGGTATGTCTTCTTCGAAACTCTTCTTCCTCTTCTTCTTTTGTTCTCGTTCTTTTAATTCACAAGGCAGAGGGTTCCTCTCTCTCTCTCTCTCTTTATATATATATATATATTTGAATACACATTAAATTTTAGCTTTGTTAAAAAAATAATTTTCTTCTTTTTGGTATAATCTATTTATTAGTTGTCAAATACATTAACTCATTGTCCAATTTGATATTAGCCCATCCAATTGTAACATATTAGTCCACTATCTAATTTGATATTAGCCCATTATTCGATTATAAAATATTAACCAACTACTAAACGTTTATTAGGTCGTATTATTAATGTTTTTATTTATAAAAAATATATAATATTGTTTTAACTAGTCGTATCCTTACTGTACCCGTGTCCTATATTTTAAAACTTTTTCATATCCTTGTGTCTGTATCATATCAAATACGACATCCGTGTCCGTACCCATGCTTCTTAGGCTAGCATTATTTGACATCTACTAACATCAAAGGCAGAGCTACACCGGAGCCAACCTCAATTTTTTTAAAAAAAATAAATTCCATGCATGATATTCTAAGAATTATACAAATATTTTTTTCTTTTGCCCATCCTATAACCTTCTTACTTCCATTGTTTAGTCTTTTATTGTATTAATGTTTTCTACTGGTGAACTTTTTATTCATATTTATGAATTTTAGTTTTATTTCTATAATTTGAAAATGAAAGTGTTTGCAATTGACAGTTAATTGACTTTTATTTTCTATGAGAGGTCATCTCTATTTTTATTCAACTATTAATTGTAGTGTTTATTATGTGTCAATTAATTTTTCAAATTTTTGTTACTATGGTTAGTTCTTAAATTTTAGTTTAGTAGCTATATTATTCTAATACGCCAGTGACAATGTTTTGAAAATAGTTTATCGAACAAATTTAATGGATAGTTAGTGAATAACTGATATGTTTTTAATTACAAAATAACAATTAATCTCGTTTTTTCACAATGCTGATAATTAGTCTTTTTTTTTTATACATACAGGGCTCGTTTAGTAGACATATTATGAGGAGATTAAATATTGGATTATCTTATTTTTTATTTAATCGGGTCTAATACTTTGTTTGGTAAGCAAGTTTGATACTATATTAATTTAAAAAATGTATACTAATTGTATATTTATCGTATTTTTTTGTAAGATAGATTTGTAATATTGAAATATTTTAACACCACCAAAAGATATGGTATTATAATTCAACTCAAACGTTTATTTTACACATTTACTACTATAACCCCCTAACTGATAAAATCAAATTGTCATCAATGTAACAAATACTGATTGAGGTTGTTTTTGTTAATTCAACACTAGTACAATGAAATAATTCTCTAACCAAATAACTGATTGGATTAAATAACTACTATTTAACGTTTATATTGTGTATTGTCAAACACTAGATAAAATTACGTATTATTCTAATACCCTATTTAATCTTGTCTTATGTCCATCTATATTATATTAGATTGAATTACTTTATCTAATATATTCATTTCTAATACGACAACCAAATGAGCTCACACAGTTCACATTGTTTTTTGCCCTTTTCTGTTGAACAGACTTCATGTATTAAATATAATATGATAAATGAAAATGTATTATTTTATTATGATTGATTAGAATGAAAATAAATTAGAATATGTTTTTAAAGTGCCCGAGATAAAAAAAAAAAAAAATTTGGCTCCACCCCCGACTAACATCTAGAAGTGCCTCAAAATTGTCTTTTCTTTTGACTCTCTTAGTTTCCTTTTTTGAAGATATCTAATATTCTTTTGTATTGGAAGCAATGATGTTCACTTTGAATTAGCACGTAAAAATCACCCAAGAGAATTTTTCATGGAGTTTTGAACATCATGATTGGAATTTTTTTTTTTTTTTCAGCTAAGAAAATTATCATGTTTAGGAAACCCAACATCACAATCGCTCAATTTGTTTGTTGCAATGCAATCAAGGATCAAAATTTTGTTTCGATGTAACGTGTTTGTCAACTCAAAAATAGAAACGTTTAACATTTTCGAAATGTTTTGAAATTACAAAATGTTTTGAAACGTTGCAAAAACAAGGGAATTTTGATTTTCCAACCAAGGACACAAAAACCAAAATGTTTTCGGTTGTTTCAGTCGAAACGAAATAAACTTAAGATCCTCGATATCAAGGATCAAAATGTCGTGTCGACACATCCGAAACGTCCGAAACGTTTCGGAATTTCAACACTCCGAAACGAAACAGTAGTTGAATCACAAAATTCCAGTGTTTCGGTCGAAACGGTACTGTTTCGGACCGTTTTGGTCGAAACGGCATTGTTTCGAACCGTTTCGACAAAACAGTGATATATTCAGTTCATTATGAATAATTACATTTAATACCCCATTATAATTACATTTAATACCCACTGTAATTACATTTAATACTCACTATAATTATATTTAATATCCCACTATAATTACATTTAATTCCCACTGCTCTTCTGTCTTTTATAATTTTTTTGTTATAAGAATAAATAATTAAACTTAATACCCTACTATAATTATATTTAATACCCATTATAATTATATTTAATACCTACTGTAATTATATTTAATACCTTACTGCTGTGCAAGTTTTTTGCTTTTTTTTTTTGTTATAAGTATTAACAATTACATTTAATACCCTAATGTAATTATATTTAATACCCACTGCAATTACATTTAATACCCACTGTAATTACATTTAATTTTTAAGTATACATAAGTATCATTATTAATTTGATACCCTTCATTATTAGTATTATAATAAAATAGTATTATTAATTGGATAATATTACCGTAATAATATGATTTGGAGTAACTATTGTCATCATATTTATGTCACATATGGAGTTTCTCTAAGTAGCTACCTAGAGCTTACACCGACGTATGAGCCTGCTCGACACTCCACAGGGGGATGGATGTAACCATGTAAGTATGTACTCATTAGCATTTCATGTATATTATAAGACCTTAATATTATGTAAAAATGTGTTTATTTCATAAAAATTAAGTGTTTGAAACTAATTTAAGTGACTTTTGCCTCATGTCAAGCATTTTTTTCCCTCAAATTTAAATTTATTCTTGTATAAATTGATGTTAACCTAATAAATATATTGAATTAATCAATTATTTAGCATATCTTTATAAATTAATGGATTGTATTTTTGTTTCTATGCGTTTCCATATTTTTTATGCGTTTCCATTGCGTTTCCAAAATGTTTCCGAAACGTTTCTATTTTTGAGTTGACCGAAACGGTACTTCGAAACGAAATTTTGATCCTTGCTCGATATCAATCATGATGTTATTTATTTATAAATTCGTCTAGAAACTTACTCTTAAAGTGTTGATATTATGATATGGTAGTCCTTAAGCATTTCTTAAGCGCTTTGTGTTCACAAATTGAAATTTTGCAAAACGTTATAATTTTATAAGTAGATCTTCAATGGATGTCAAAATATTGGCCAAGTTCGATCTGATTCAGCCTCTATCGAACCGATACTGGTAATGATACGAACACAACAAAGTTGACTCAGACAAACTCGTAACCGAGTTGACCGAGTCACAAAAATATCGTAGATTTGTCACCATTGAAGTCGTATTCTTCTTCATAATTACTGACAATCTGCACCAGATAGCACCGATTGAGATGGTCCTCAATCTCTAGTCTTCGTTTGTACGAATGGAGTTACAATCGTCATTCCCTCTCATACGAGGTCTCTCTCTGAGCTAAGGTTTGAAAATTGGACATAGGCTAACTAGTCTTCAACTCGGCACTAATGGGTCTACCATTTTCCCTTTGTGTTGGATGATTGTCCTTTTTTGGTAATATGTTGTGAAAGTGTCATAATAGTAAATGATGTATTTTTGTTTTAATTTAGGGTCTGATTTTATTGATTAATTTTGGGTACATTAACACAGTAACTTTTTATTGCATTAACTTAATATATATTACTAATAAATTAAATTAACATAGCTCGATATGTCCGATAGCTCCCTATCATTTCATTTTCGGCATATTGAATGTGCTAGATGATGTATATTAATCATAGGGTACATAAAGTTTATTGTTTATATTTTTTAGAATTTTTTATATTTTTGTAGAATTTTATGAACATTCTATCTACTATTTTGTGCGTATTGGCCGATATCGTACTACAACACTATGACCGATGTGTTCAGGGTCAACCTCAGACCTAGGCAGCTAAGTTACTTGCCTAGGGCCCCAAATTTTAGAGGGCCCCCAAAATATTTATCCCTTTAGTATAGTAGGCTTAATTAGTTATTTTTTATTTCGCACTGTAGCTATGATTCAAATTTTTAAGGCCAAATTTTAAAAGTTTAAATCAATATAGAATTTTGTTAGGTCCAAAATAACTCTTTACTTGGTTAAGCCCAAATTTTCGAGGGCCTCCATAAAAGTTATCCCTTCGTGTAAACTTTGATTTAAATTTTTATAACTCTTTTGGGTGTGTTTACAATTGTATTCCTCTCACTCACCTAAAAAATTTATATGCACTATTCTTGTGAAAATCTATAAAATTGATTCCGTTTTTGTTTTAGTATAACTTTTCAATCCAAATAATTTATGCTTAAATTGTATGTGTTATCAAAGTTTTGTACTTCATGCGTGCACATAATTCATGGGTAAAGAATGATTCTTTGATATCTTAAAATTATTCTTTACTCACTTATTTTATCATTAAATTACTTGTTCAAAACTTAAATTGATAAAATATTATTTACGATCAAATTGATTAAATTAACTATATTATCTATTGAAAAAGATTTATTATCAAAATATGATCAATATTTTGTATTTCAAAAAATAAATAAAAAATATAATTATAATAATTAAAAATATAATATATTAATAGACAAGATATTAATAGGACCTCAAATAAAATTTTTGTCTAGAGCCACATTTTACCTTGGCCACCTTAGGATGTTTCTCTATATTGATTATGCGACCTTAAACGATAGATAGGAGAACTATATAACTCAAACAATATTTTTCCCATGGGGCCATGCATTTTGAAACATTCATAAAATTTTCAACCATCGATCAAAGAATAGGCTAATACCGGCACAACTCAGCAAGGTCGTATCCGACTTAGCACCTTCCATTCAGAGATACGAGTGTAAAATACGAGTCTCACTTTTTTTTTATATAGAAAACATAACTCTTGTATTAATAATTAAAAGATAAAAGATAAGTTTGGACAAGATATCCAACTAAGAACAAACAAAAAAATAAAAAATAAAACGAGCTTATAAATCACATGAAGTCTTCCATCCTTGCTAAAATAGCAAAAAGCGAAATTTCATTGAACTCCTTTGAAATTGATCCCAAAAAGATACTAAGAAATGAATTCGATCCCACCTTCGTTCCAACATTCAATCCAATATTCAAAAATCTTTGTATTTCGTCCTTTCCAGATAACCTAAAATGTGGTCATAAAAGCACAAGTCTCACTTGACTCATCTTGACTTGGAAAGTCTCGGACTATTCAACTGAGCCGTCTGAGTTAGCATTTTGTCGCTCCAGCTCCCGTTACGCCACTATACCATTTCCCAATGCCACGATACGACCTAATTTTTTGTATTTATCGTCTAATATCGATTGCGACGTTGCAATCAATTTGTCACATTGACATCCGAGTCGATAACCGACATTGCGACCGTAAACCATACTTCCGACTTCAATCGGGTATCAAAGTATCTATTGAGTCTAACAACCACGACACAGCCCTACCCAACCGATACCGATACAAGTTCCACCAAATCTATGAGTCCCAGCCGAATTGGTCTTGAATTGGAGACAACTTAGACAAGTCGGTGCAATTTGGACTAAACTCGATCGATTCAACCAAACTCGTGACCGAGTTGGACAAGTTCAACAAATTACCAGCCCACATCAAAAACCAGCAAAAAGAAGGCCTAAAAAATAAGGAAAAAAAGGTTAAGCTAGACAGAAGCATTCCAGACCCACATCAATGCAAACCTATCCTCGGTAAAACACATAGTTGAATCAAATCGATTATTTCACATTGAAACCCTACTTCTTTCAATGTGTGTGAAGTGTGAACTGAAAAAGTCAAGGAAAATGATGCTTCATCTGCTTCTACTAAATGAAGGAGTTGGACTTCTTTCATTTTTTTGTTTTAGACTTTTTTGTCCTTCTGTTCGGGCAGATAATGGGCCTATGATAATTTGTTAAAACATGACTTTCATAATAATAAATGATGTGTTGTATTTTTAAGTTTTTCATGTATGTTGTTGGGAGGGAGGAGGGGTTGAACTCAATTGTATTAGTTTAATTCAGAATGCACTTGCATTTTAATTTAACTACTTTTTGATATTTTAAAATTTTTGAACAATTGAACATTTTAAATACCTGAAATACACAAAACATATGTAGAGTAACTTTCGCAACTCCAACCTGTTATTCAATTCTAACTAGCAAAAATAATTTTTGAAGGGCCCATGAATGTCGTTTCACTTTGCCTACTCAAATGAAAAATGGTTTCATTGAAAATTAATGGTGATAAATATTTTTGGTAGAGCCATTTTTTTTTTTTGCACTATGTTTAATGTGCTACATGATTTATTTTAGATATATGGTACATACATGTAGGTATTTAAATTTATTAGGATTTTGTACGATTTATTTTAGAATTTTCGATTCTAATCTAGTATTTTGGCCTGCACCAGCCGATAGAGTTACGAGACGTCATCACGGATATGACCTAGTGCATATTGAGTTAAAGGCCGATATCGCAACCTTGACCATTACGTCAACACCTCTAACCATTTGGATTAGTAAGAGGTCAGTGAACAAGATCTATTGGTAAGACGTACTTTAATCGGCAAGGATATTTGGTATAGATAAATCAATTTTTCTAAGTATGCTGTCAAACTATAATTAATTTGGAGTCAAGATATGTGTACAGCATAAAAGAACATGCCCCCTTTTCTTTTAAAAAAAATGCATAAATCTCAAGAAATTTCGATCATCAAAGTCATACTTCATGATAGCATAACCATGAAAAAGCTATATGCAGTGAGCCCACATCCACATCAGTTTAGACCACCGATATGCAACAATCATAAACTAAAAAGAGCTTGGTCGTACATAACATTTCTAATGCCTATATCAGACAAAATAGGATGAAAAAATTCAAGAGATATGCCTAACCTCATTTTTCCCAGGTAATATTGGTTTCCCATGCAAAAGCTCAGCAAAGATACAACCAACAGACCACATGTCGACAGCTGGACCATACTTGGTGGCTCCAAGCAGCAACTCTGGAGGTCTGCTTAAATGAAAATTAACCTGAATCAGCTGACTGAAAAGTACTTAAATATTATTCGACAGCCGACGCAAGTCATGCAGCTACATGAATATCCACCATCATACATCCATATATAACCTATTTATCCAATTATAGTTCTATATATACCTATACCACAAAGTAATAACTCGATTTGTGAGATTTCCAGTGTGGTCATGTGAAAATGACCGTGCTAGCCCAAAATCTGCAAGCTTTAGATTTCCCTCATTATCAATGAGAAGATTAGAGCCTGCACGAACAGTACATAGAAAATGTAAGTATTTCACAGCAATGAAAAGATTGAATTCATTATGGCATTAACCTTTGATGTCCCTGTGAAGTACTTGATTGATGTGACAGTAATGAAGCCCCGTCAGTAGTTGCCTCATATAACACTGAAATGAAATATTATTAACAAACTGTCAAGTACAGGTTATCATTACAGAACAGACACTGTCCTTTTTAGCTGTCTAAGCTTACAATACCTTGATCTGTGGAATAGTAAATCGCAATCCAGGACGATCAGCAAGGCCTGTTAAGTCATGGTCCATATACTCAAAAACCATGTAAATGTTGCCCTTGTACTTATTAACATCTGTACTCTCAGAGATTATAACCCATGTCAGACATTCCAAGAATCAAAAAAATATTGTTAAGCTGGACTCTGAAGAAAAAACTAACCACATCAAATCAAAAAATGAGAATCAGTCTACGATAAAATCACTAAAATAAGTTAATGCAGTAAGTCTTCACCTGATTTCTCTTGCTCATCCACCTCAGGACCTTGAAACAAATTTAATAAATTTTCAGTGCAAGGAAACTTGATTAAATGTCTCTAACAAGCTAAAGTAAGAAATGGGTGTAGCTCCAAGTATCTGGAAATCAAAGTACCTGGAGATGTCACAATCTCTTTCAGCTTAATAACATTTTCATGCCGCAGCTTCTTTAAAATTCTAATTTCCCGGATGGCAGTAATAGGAAACTGTAGAAAAGAAGAAAACAATTCCACAAAATTTGCTATGGGAAGTGTTTTTGTCAAGATTAGATTCACATTTTTAGCCCAGACTGTTTTCTGTGTATGACTACATCAACTAAGCTAACATAATAATCAAGGAAAGGAAGAATACCCCTTCTTTCTCGTTGTCCATGCGTATCTTTTTCAAAGCAACAATTTCCCCTGTTTTAATTTCTCTGGCCATGTATACTTGGCTGGGGAAAGAGTAAAAAAGGAACAAACACAAGAATGCAAACCAGACGTGAATACCTAAATAAGGGAATAGAAAACACATCCATACTTCACTCATGTCCATTTACATCGAGCTCAAAAAAAAACAAAAATCTAGCTGAAAGGAAGATTGTAGAAAACTCTATTTAAGAGACATAAAAAGAAAAAAAAAAAAGAGAGAAAAGGGAAGATAGAGAAATCAAGGACTTCACAAAAACCATCTTTGTGTTGAAAATATGATTCATGCTCATTACTTTTCAGTTTCATGGTTATGTAGATTTTAGTGGCCCAAAATCTGTGGCCAAAAAAGCTAAAAATTAAGGCCCACATATGCGAACCTTTTATGATAGCCTTGTATAAAAGATGAAAATTGCCATGTAAGTCAAAGAAGGCTTCATCCTTCACAAAAAATCATTACCTAACGTGCCTCGTAATTACTAAGTGGCTCAGCAATAAGAACCTTTATTTACTAGCTTTGTGCTCTTACTCATTTCTTCTAACAAACACCTCATACGTCCTCTGGGGTCTTTCTTCCTCAAGAACCTTTTCAGCTTGTCTTTGGCTATTCACTCCCCAAAAAAAACTGCTGTTTCAACGAGTTACATTCTCTTGCCAGAATTCTCATCTTTTCTTCTTCAAATAAGTTTGAACAGCTGTAACTTGTACTCCGCTCCTGTATCATCTACAGGAGAGGATATTGATCATGTATGGTGTATTATGTGAAAAATGAGTGAGGAGACCATTGATCATCCCTTTCGTCATTGTTCAATTTCTTTCTCATGCTGGTGAAGGTTGTTTTCTTTAGTGGATATGAGCTGGATTTCTCTTGGAAAGAGTACATTAGCTCGATCACTGTGGAAGTGGGTGTTGTTAGCTTTTTTTGTTTTTCTTGAGAGGAATGCAAAAATTGTTGAAGACAAGTGTGACTGTGTGGGTAGTAGATTGTTTATGGGAAAAAATCTGTCTCCTGGATTCTTCTTGGGTATCAGTGTGTCGACATCTTGTGGTAATTCCCATGTATTTGATTAAGGTGGATTAAAAATCTGAATGCAACTTGTAATTTGCATTCCTAATTTTTCCTGCTTTAATTTAGTTTGCCTATTTCATTGACAGATTTCCCTTGTGTAACAATTTTTCCTTTCTAGTCAAAAGTTATTGTTGCTGAATAGTATATTGATCTGGGGTTTGTCAATTTGTAAGCTTGATTTGGCAAGCTGTGGTGAACAGGAATTGATTATGTGGAGATTGTTCATTGCGGAGAAAGCTAATGATTGATGGTGTAAGTAGTGATTTCATTTTAGTTGTTTTGAGCTACATTCTACTTGGGAATTTTCTTTCTAGGTACACATGCCATTTTTGTCTAGAGCATTTTTTTTCTAGTTGTGTAGATGGCATCTTTGTAGAGAAACCTAAGAATTAGTTTTGCTTGATGATGTGCAGAGCAGACACATATCACTCCTTTTTTTTAGGAAAACAAAACTTTCATTAAATAAAGTAAAATGTACAAAGAGGTGGACAAGACTCCACTCTATGAGGAAAATATAACAGGCATTCACATATGACCCAAGAGGTCACATGCTTCATGCATGAATGCATGTTTGAAGTGTGGTTGTTTTTGCACTTAGGGTTGGGACACACAATACACCACAGATCTAAGAAGTCTCAAGCTTGTATCTCTTTTTTTCTATGTAACATCTACCCCCAATCCAGTATAACTAAATTTATATGTCTTAAGTGGGGTTTTTCAAGACCACCTCAAAAGATTTGGCTCTATTTCCCAACTCCTGTTCTTCAGCACTTAATATTTCCCTACATGCTTTCTCTTCGATGATCGGCACCGGTGATTGGATGCTTCACTTTGGTACACAGGATATGCACAATTGTTGCATTCAAAACACTTAGAAGTTCTTGCTGCAGCCTCGTCCTCCTTTAAATCTCTACTAGTTCATCTCCTTTTCTTCATCCCAAAATATCTGATGTGGTAATGGTTGTATTTCACTCTTCTCTTCTCAAAAACAATATTGCCTCAGATGGGTTTCTTTATAAGGGATTTTCATCCCAAATACATTTATTTTTGTTACCCATTCATCTTCTTTTCTTTCTCTTTTCTCTTCAGGACTCCTGCATGGAAAAGTGATTTTGGCACAATTATCAAAGTTTTGATCTGTAAGCAATAACCCACTGAAATCTGATCCTTTCTTTTTCGTTTCTCTCTTAAAAATGATGTGCATTTGTGTTTACCTCCTCATATCCACGATATCCCTAACATGCAGTGTGTAAAACTGGAAACCACTAAGCTTTTTTATGATGTACGTACCTTTAAAAAAATTGATAGTCAAAATTGTGCAATCACAACTTTCACCAAGTAAACTCCACACACCTCTATTCCAACTACGTAGAATCATTTAAATTCATTTTTGAAATTCTAGCATCATTTAGAAACAAAGGTTAAAATTGTCGAATTATTAGCTTTCATGTCTAGGAACTCTTCTTGGCGGTTCTCACTACCTAGGCACCTTTGTTTCTATCCTTGTTTAAGGTTTTGAAAAAATAGGGTTTGGTATTGAAGCAAGAGTTGTTCAAGTAAAGAAAAAAGAGTTTTCAAAATTTGCACTAAGGAGAATAGAAGTAATGTTGTATCTGCTTCGTCTCCTATAGGTTTGTCTTTATCAACACCTTCATGCATATCTCACTCTACTTAGGTCTTTGATTCTATTGTTACATATTCTATGACTAGTGATCCATCTGTGTTTCCTTTTAACTCATCTCCTTCTACCCCTACTACTGTCCTAGTTGCCAATAGGTCTTCCATGTTGGTGGTAGGGGTTGGATCTGTTATGACTTCACTTCTCTCTTTCTAATGTTTATTATATCCCACAATTATTTCTAAATTTGATTTCTATTAGTCAACTTTCTAATCTTGGTTACATTGTTCAATTTTCCTCCACTGCTTGTATTGTGCAGGATACAAATTCTAAGAATCTGATTGGGACAAGCCTTAGGGTTGGAGGATTATATGTGCTGGAAAAATCGCATGTTCAAGCTGTGGTTGCTTCTTATATTGATTTGTCTTCTTTTCGTTTGAACCCTAATTCTTCTGTGTTTTATTTATGGCATTCTCACCTTTGACATATTTCTAGGTCTCATTTGAGGTTTGATGATTCTAGTATCTACTGGTGCTTTAGGAAATTAAAGTAGTCATGATTTTTCTAATTTTAGTGGTGGCTATAAATTTGCCAAATTCACAGCTTTACCTTTTAAAAATAATTCCACTTCTTCTGATCTTTTCGACCTGATGTGTGGGGTCCTGCCCCATTGCAACCAAAAGGGTTTTTTTTATTATGTTTCTTTTATTGATTATTATACTCGATATTGTCAGGTTTATCTCATGAAGCAACAATTTGAATATTTCTTTATCTTTGTTGTTTTTTGTGTCATGGTTTACACACAATACTCTGCAATAATTAAATATTTTTGGTGTATTTGGGTGGAGAATATAAATATACTAATTTTCTTGATTTATTGAAATCAAATGAAACTCTTCAATAGTCTTCTTGTGCTGACGCTTCAAAGCAAATGGTGTGCCTGAGCGAAAGCACAAACATATTATGGAGATAGCTCGTTCATTACTTTTATCTACATATGTTCCTAACTTTTTTTTGGAGAGAGGCACTTCTCACAGCCGTTCATCTCATTAACCGAATTTCTTCTATTACTACTTTGAGTGTTTTCCCATTTGAAAGGTCATATGGTAAACCTCTTGACTACTTCTCATTGCATGTGTTTGGTTGTATTTGTTCTGTTCTTCTTCATAAATCTGAATGAAATAAGTTATTTGTTCATTCTACTATATGTGTTTTCTTGGTTATGGCGAGGGACAAAAAGGTATCGCTGTTATGACCCAGTTACAAAAAGATTGTATGAATATAGACGTGTAATCTTCCTTTAGCATATTCCTTTTGCATTCCTTCCGCTTTTAATCATTTCCCTAATGATATTTCTGGTCATTCTTATATTCATGACATGCTCACTCTTGACATTCATTGTTTTCCTCAATCTTCTTCTTCCTTAGTTGTACCACTTTCGATTATCCAGACTTATTCTCACTGGAACAAGACTAACTCCTCTACAAGTACAACACCTCTACCTCATTCGGCTGTGTCTCAATGGCTCCTAATGATATGGATCCTCCTTCTTCTCGCTATCCTATACGCATTCATAAGTGTCTTTTGTTCATTTTGTATGAGCCTACCTTCTATAAAGAGGCCGCTCTTGATCTAATTTGGCAAGAGGCTATGAATGAAAAACTTTCTACACCATATAAAACTAAGACATAGGATCTTATACCTTTACCTACTGGCAAGTGTGTTGTTGGTTGTCGGTGGGTATACAAGAATAAAACTAAGGTTGATGGTTCTATTGAGAGATATAAGGCCAAATTGGTTGTCAAAGGTTTTGCACAGGAACATGACATTGATTATGAGGAGTCATTGCTTCACAGTTGACCACTACTCATACATTGATTGTCGTAGAAGTTGTTCGTCAGTGGAACTATCTCAAATAGATGTCAAGAATACTTTCTGAATGGTAATTTGACTGAAGAGGTTTTTATTGTTCCTCCCCTTGTCTGCTTCATGCTCCTAGTGAGGTGTACAAACTCAAAAAAGCTCTTTATAGTCTCAAATCGGCTACTTGAGCTTGGTTTGAGAAGTTCTCTTTGTGATTTATGACTTGGATTTTCGTTACAGTGATCATGATTCTATTATTTTTCTTCATTCCACTTCCACTGGTCAGATTGTTCTTCTTTTATATATTGATGACATAATTATTACTGGAGACGATTATGGGGGTATCTCAATTTTGAATATCCTTCATTATTTTTTGTGCATTAAAGTGGCTTCATTACCTAAAAGTTATCTTCTCTCTCAGTCAACGTATGTAGTTGATGTTATTAACAGGGCTCGATTAATAGACTCTCGGACTGTTGAGACTCCTCTCGGGCTCAATATACATTACACATTTACTAACGGTGTCCCTTTAGCTGATCCTACTTTACACCGGATTCTCTTCAGTAGCTTGGTCTATCTCACTATTACAAGGCCTGATATTTTTTATACTGTTCATGTTGTAAGCCATTCTCTAATTATAGTTCTTTGGACTACAGTTCTCTGTAATTTGTGCCATCTTTAGGGTACTTTATATCTGAGTTTGTTGTTCTTTTTCACTTCTTTGAAGCTTCGTGCCTTTTCTGATGCTGACTAGGTAGATGATGCCATAGATCCTAAATCCACTGCTGGTTTCTATGTCTTTCTAGATCATTCCCTAATTTCCTGGAGAAGTAAAAAATAAACTGTCGTCGCTTGTTCAACTATTGAGGCTAAATATCGTGCTATGGCTATTACTATATCAAAGATAGTATAGTTGGGATTATTATTTGTCGATTTGGACGTTTCTTTTTTTGCTCTAACTTCTATATACTGAAACAACAAGAGTGTCATTCAGATTGCACAAAACTCTATTTTCCATGAGCGAACCAAGCATATCGAGTTCGATTGTCATTTTGTGTGATACCATCTTCAGCTATGGACTATTTCCTTGCCTTTTGTTTCTTCTACTACGCAATTGGCTGAATTTTCACGAAGTCACTACGTTGCATTTTCATTTTGACAAACTCTCGATACTTCCTATTGTCATATCATGAGTTTGAGGGGGTGTTAAGATTGTATTTATATTTATGCTTATAGCAAGGGTATTCTACTCTTTCTCTTATAATAGGGCTTTGTTTTAATACATAGTGTCTCTTGTACCTATCTAGTTATTTTTAATTTTGATGGAACCTTGGTGTAGTAGTTTTCTTTTCTCACTTACTATTCTTCGTATGTATTTTCTTCTTTGCAAGTTTGTATAAGTTTACACTAATTACATATCAATATTGCTATCCACCCAGCCAAAATGCAAAAGAGATGAATTTTCAGTGAATAAAGCTCAAAAAATATGCTAGAAAAATAATTTGATCCCATCTATTATCAAATATTCTAGCATTCCTCTCCAACCGATGATTTATTTCACATAAAAATACCTCATTGTCTCTCCCCGCATTGTTTTTTCATGTGTAGACGTGCCACTGAAAGTGTTAAACATTTATATTTGCATTGCCTAATAACATAATCATGATAAACCATATTGATAAAATGGGCAGGGATGTGATGGTTAAGTCCTAGATTTTAGCAAAACATCACCTACAAATGTTGATGATCTTAGCAGATTGTTTTTAGAATTAAGACAAGCTAATTTTCATATGTCTATACATTTTTTTGTATGTGCATACGTATGAACAATCAATACGTTTTAACTACATATATTTCATAAGTATATTGAATATATAACCATGATAAATTGGTGAAGCTGAGTTCATGATAAACTTAACAAATAATTGACCACAACTTTGTCATTTGCTTCATGGATTATTGCCCTTTTGGCCTTCTTTTCCTAGTTCCCACCCCAAACACCACCCTCATCCACTTGGCCTTCTTTTCCTGCCCCACAACCCCCACCTTCTCTCAACACATTCCCATCCTAACTCAATGGTGAATGAAAAACAAAGGGTATGACAACAACAAATCCCAATGCCTTGGCCTAAGGTAGAAAGACACAAAAATAAAGTTCTTTACAATATTAATGGCACAGAGATTTGTTGACACCATGCACAAGTCTTCACATTATTTGTTTTCTACCACAACAATTGGAGCACGAATAATGCTTAAGATAAAGACTGTCAACTACGTTTGGTTAGAACATAAAAACCACCATTTATAGCATACGCACAGCTAGTATCAAATACTATCCGACCAAAATTGGAACTTATATTCGGCAAGAAATCCCATTAAATTTCCTTATCCACGAAAAAACAAAACAAAGCAAAGCAGCATAATCAAACTACAATAATGCCGTGAATATATTCAAAATTGTAATCACCAACTATGACAAGGGCAGCAAATTTGATCTTATAGTCATCTAATTTTCCCTCTAAATAGTGCAACGTAATTAAAAGTCCATTCAGCATTGAATTGTGATAGGCAGAAATATATCAAAACCTTTCATGCAGGATTAAAATAGAAACAGATACACGTAGCCATAGTTAATCAAGAAATTAGCATCGCATTGTGCTGATCAGTCTTGAATGTGCATAGAATAGAACAATAACAAATTGTATCGGCTCGGGACAAATTATCTGGGACTCACCCGTAAGTCCCTTCCCCAATCTGTTCCAATTTCTCGAAGCAATCCACGCTTCGAGACCCCCATGATGGTGACTCTTCCAAATTCAGCTGACCATAAGCCGCTGCAGCCATCTCTCTCTCTCTCTCTCTCTCTCTACATATAAATAACTCTGCTATATGTACAGGAGAGTGTAACGGGCGGCAGAGATCCTCTCCGTAGAACGCCTGTAACTAGTATCCTAATCGAAGTTCACTTGATGACGTGGCATTTACTAGGGCTGTTTTGTCATTTACTAAAATATAAGTGCTTTTTCGTCCAATGGAAACTGTCGTGGCATTTGGAAGGGGAGCGGCCTAAATTTTGTTTGAGCGAATCTCAACTTGCATAAAGAAACTTCATTTAAATTTTAATTTACACTATTAAAGTTTAAAAATATTAATTTATACCCTCAAAAATAAATATATATTAATATACACCTGAAATTAACTATTATCTATTTTTCTTTTAAAAAAATTTAGATTAATTATAAATTGTAACTCTCAAAATTTAAATATTTTACAATTATAATCCAAAAAGAATTTTATCCAGTAATGCTCGTTAAATAGCTCTCATTCGTATCATATCATAACATTATCGCATCGTGTTCGAGTCAATAAAAAAATATTTTTAACAAAAAATATTTCGTGTCGAGTCAATTGCGTTGTATCTTATATTTCACATTTACGACAATTCATATAATATTTTTTAAAAAATAAAAAATATCAATTTTTGTTTACAATACTTGTTCAATAACTATGTTTTGTCTACAATTGTGTTATTCGTATCTAACAATAATTTGATCAGACAATCAAAAGATTTATACCTAACTTTAGACAAAAAATAATTATTTAACGAGTATTGTAGGCAAAAAAAATAGGTATTATATAATTTTTTTAAAATTTTGAAAAATATTTTTTATTGACTCGAATACAATACAAAGATGTTATGATTCGATACAATTGAGATTTAACGAGTATTAATGGATGAAATTCTTTTTGGATCATAAATATTAAATTTTAAACTTAGAGGATATAATTTATAATTAATTCAAATGTTTTTAACGGAAAAATGGACAAAATTAGTTTCATGTGCACATTGATACTGATTTATATTGTTTACGGTGTAAATTGATATTTTTAAATTTTGAGGGTATAAATTAAAATTTAAGTGATCTTTTGGGGTACAAGTTGAGATTAACCCAAATTTTTTCCACAATGACTTGTTTAAATTACACTCGAATCCCCCAAGTTTTTTTACCCCTTGAGTGAATCCCCTAAACTTTGACAAGAAAAAAAAAAAACAGAACTCTTTGATATTTCACAATGACACAAGAAGTTGGACTGGAACATGTAATTAAAAATGATAAATGCTCGTTGGTAGAATGGAAAAAAAAATAAAAAGATAAAAAAAAAATACGAGGGAGGATAAAATTTCTATCATTGGAGAATGAAAACACACGTTCATTCCTTTCTGTTTGATATGGTGGATAGAAATTTGAAAGGATTAATTTTTTGTTGTTTAATATGGAAGGAAAAAAGAAATGAAAGAAAATAAATATTAATTCAATTTACCATAATACCCTTACTATGAAATTGACCATTCTGCCATCTCATATGAGATGTAAATTTCTTGCTGCTATGAATCAATTCCTTCAATTTAGGAAATTTTAAAATTCTTTTATTTTGTAAAAATAATAAAATAGATCCATCTCAAAAAATAGTAGAGTAGTAATTTGCAACCATGAGATTTGTGTAGAATAATACAATCGTTCATTACTTTTTTGTTGCAACACTCGAATAATGCACAAAATAGTTCGTACAAGATCAACAGTCGAATATGTGACATGATATGATTAATGGACAATTAATAAAATAATTAATGACAATAATGTAAATATTGAGTCAACACACAAATATATAATGGTTCGGTCAGGACAATCTACTCCACTCTGAAAAATGGTAACAATGGCTGGGGGGTTCTTTATTGTTGAAGTAAAGTAAACGGGAGAGAGAACAATTGTTAGCTCCAAGAGAGGTACAATAGTTAGGAAAGAAAAAATTTATGTATGTGTAAAGAGATGTAGAGGTAAAGTTCAATGTGTCATCTCATGTAGAGAGGACTTATAATTTATAGACACAGGGTCTTGGTTAAAACGGTGACTTGAGGACAAATGTACTAATTCTTCAGGTGATTACAAAAGGTAATTGTCATAAAAAGATGTCTTGATCTTCTAGAGTGAGTATCTCGATAATTGTTCTCCTGTGCTCTAATTCTTTTTGAACTCTTTGGAACTTGGGCTAGGTCAGATTCACGAATTGGGTTTGACCTGTCTTTTAGTTGATTTGGGCTTACTTGATTTATTGGGTCTATCCTGATTAAATTAGGGCTCATCACTCTCAATATTTGATTGATTTTGATTCACCAATTTAGAGTGACATGGATGTATATGAAAGTTAGTGTATGAAAAAAGCTGAGTGTGTGCTTTCAGTTTTTTTCCTCACTTTTCGCCCAAATTTGATTTTTTTTGGGGGGAGGGAAAGTGATTCTCTTCCACTTTTCACTCTCTCCTATTTCTGTTTGGTATAAAAAAGTGGAAATCTTTTCCTTTCCTCCAATGTTCCTCCCTCCAATTTTCCTCCCTCCACATTTCATTCGCCAATTTTTACACCATACCAAACACTCCAAAAGTTATCTTCGACAATATTGTTAATCATGTATTCGTCAAACCATACTCACAAGCCACCGCCAAAACTCCTCCAACAAGTCGTTATTCTTGGGAGTGTGAGGATCGATATTTATCATATTCTATTGACCTAGATTGGGGTGAATAGTTTTTGTGGGGAAATAAATACCAAATGAAATTGAACCATCTAATTTAACAATTCAACCTAACTAGATTATGCACACCAATTAATTATGTTGCAAGTGAGATTTCAAAGATAAAAATTGCAAGTAAGAATATAAATATCTACTTTTAGCTTGAACACCCACCCCCCCCCCCCCGACCAAAAAAAAATGAGATCAAGTCCAACCCAAAATCAATCTATTATTGAAATTAGAGTAGAGACTTGTAAGGGGTAGAACCTTCTACTAAGGATTTCGGCTTGACCTGGGTTAACCCACGCGGGTGACCCCCCAGTAGCCTTTCTCAGTGCCCGCAGGAGCTACGTCCCACATCGACTGAGAGTCGTCTCCCCCCTTTGCATATAAGCCCTTGCACTCAAATGAGGAGGTACCCACTAGCGACCTGATCAGGTGCCTAGTGGGTACCTCCTCCTTTGAGTGCAAGGGCTTCATATGCGAGGGGGGGAGACGACTC